TTAGTTGTTTCAATAATGCACCCAATTTATGGAATATATTATTTGTTGGATATAACATCTGAACCTTCAAGGTTCCTTGTGACAAATTCTTTTCATAACTATCCAACAAATAATATAATCCAAAATTGTTTTTATATTTTTATTATTGTTAAATTATTATAAAGTATGTCTTTAATATTGTAATTTTAACCAAACATTTAAAAAATATCTATGATAGATAAATATGTCATATTTAGAACATATATTTTTAAAAAAAGTTAGGTTCAAACCTATTAAATTAATTTAATAGTCTAACATAATTTGTTTTCATCCTTAATCGTAATTATAAATATAAAATCTTGTAAAAAATAATTATAATATTTATTTATACTTTTAAAAGTTATATGTAAAATTTTTAACACGACAAATATATGAATAAATATTGCCCCCACTATCTAAAATTTCTGGATCCGTCACTGTTTTAGACAATCTTTTTAGTAATTATAAATAATTTTGAAATATTTGACCTGTTTGCACATGCATATTAACTCTTCTACACTAAAATTTAAAATTAAGAGTTTACTATTATTAAAATTTATATTTTAGACAGGATTCAAGAAACTTTCCACCAATATACCTTCATCTTCGCATATGTATTTCATATGCACTATTATGTATGTAATAATGTATATAAATTATGATACTTTTCTACTTTGTAAATGTTAATGCTCCATACTTTTTCATACATTTATATAATACTCATTTGAATACTCTATCAAATAAAGAAATGAGTTTCACTTTATTTCCTGTACTTTTAGACACTTTGTCAACAACCACTTTTTGACTTATCTTTTTCATTTTGAATTTCATATAGAACTAAAGTTTTAATTTGCGCATATAAAATTAATTTTTATTTTATATAATAAAAATAATAAATAATATTTTTGATAAAAATAGTTGTATTTTAATTTTATGATTAATAATTTATATTATATATTTAATTATTGATTTTTTAAATATTAAAATTTAATTTAAAAATAAAATTAAAACCAAAAAATTATAAGAGATAAAAGATTAAGAAAATTTTCTAAAAATATTATCTTTATAAAAAAGTTAAAAATGTTCTTGTTAAAATAATATATTTTACTAAAATACATATTCATACATGATCACTAGAGTTAGCTTAATGGTTGGGTGGAGAGGGGTTGGGGACTTGGGATAGTTATAAAAGTATGATAATCTAAGTTTAATCTTCATTGCAACCATCGGGAGATGCTTTTAGTCTGGTCAAGTCTCTTCCTAAAGTCAACAAAATCTAGAAAGATTCTTACTATCTAAACTAATTATTTCAAAATTTTATCTATTTTTAATTTTTTAAAAATAAGTTATAAAAAATAAAAAGAAAAAATAGAAAGTAATTAATTATCTTCTCAAGATCTTCCAACATGATGATGTTGAGTTATCTTTTCAAGAATCTATTTAATGAGATCGCCATGTGAAAATAACCATAAATAGGAGAAGAAAAAAAAAAGGAAAAACTAATAAAGGAAGAGAAAAACACATAACACTAGATAGTGAGTTAGAGTCCCCACCATGAAAAGTTTTCAACAAAAAGGAAAAGAAACGGAAGAACTCCACCAACGTTTTAAGAAGCTGGAACTAGAGTGGCAAACCTTTAAGGAATCCAAGCCGACAAAAGTTTCAGGCTACAAACACACCATTCTGAAACCTCACAAGAGAGAACTCATGTTCAACTTTCAACAACAAGAGTCCCCAGAGGAAGCCTGGAAGAACATGACGAGAACCAAAGACATGGCAGTGCAAGAGATTCTTCAAGAGCGTAGGGAAGCTATTGAGAGTGGAAAGTTGAAGGGTCGAAGACTTTTTCATTCACCGGAGGAGGGTGAAACTGAAGGTAATGTCACCAGAAGCCATGAAGTGAGATCAATGTCTTACTATAAGTCGGAGGATGATAATTATATACGTAAATTGTCTTATTCTTCTTCCTCTTCCTCATTTTGTGGGAGTGACAATGACCAAATTATGGAGCATGTGACACATTTGACGGCAATTATAACAGAGATGGAAGTTCTCAGTGATCGGAGGCGTGGTAATGGAAGATCAAGTTATGTTGTTTTCTTTTGTTGGATCGCTATTATTTTATTTGTGATTGCAATGTGTATGAGCTTGGCAAAGAGTTCTCTTGGAGAGAACTCCAACATATTTATAGTTCCAACATGAAATATGTATATATTTTTTATTGATAAAAATTATAATAACCACATCAGAATTCGACTTCTATGAATGTCATCTCAATGATTATAACAAGAAATATATAAACTGTTTTCAAGATTATGATATAGTATTTAATTGTGTAACTGACGTAGAAAAGTAGAAACTATATGCATACACAAATGCTGATGCTTGCTTACTAGCTAGTAGTTAATGGTTTGTTTTTTTCTAAAGTATTTCTATGCATACTTACGTCTTTTACAGATTGTTGAATCCATAACAGATCATAAACATATTGTTTCTTTTGATATAAATTTTTTAAGAAGACAATATTCTGAGCATCTTCACTCTTCAGTCTTCAGAAAATAGCCGGAATAGGTAAATAACAAACAAGCTGGGTACTGTATATATATTATTACACGTTATGATTTGAAATGTCAATTATCCATGACATTAAGATTCTTCGAATAAACGTGATTGAGTTCCATTAATAATTCCTTCATATTTTCTATTACAATGTGGGAGACACATTAATTATTGAGTTACATGCGAATAGGTTTCCCAAGATCTGGTCGAAGCTTTCTGCTGAATTATCAACAGGATGTGTATGAGTCCCTTCGTAGGTTGTTACCACGATCTGTTCATCTAGGGAATGGCGTTGGATTTGTTTCTTGACATTGCACTCTCGATGAGAGCACTTGTAGTAACTTCTAAAAGCAGCAATATAAAATTGGACTTACAATCAAGCATAGATTAGTAATTAAGAATGGCCAAAATGACATGGTAAAATCTCTATTACTGATAATCTTAATTTTTTGTTTGGTTAACCAATACGGGACTACTAATATAAAGGACAACAAATCCTATTTTTTTTCTCCTTGTCCATAATTAGTCTTTTTTTAAAAATTTAATCAATTATCTTTATTAGAATTTCCCATCTAAATTACATTTTTATCTATTCATAAGGTTCAATTCGAGACATTTCTTAATAACATCAAACACAGTGTTATTAAGATCAACAAATTGTCGATATTAACTACTAAGGATACGTTCTCCATTAAAAACAATACACTAATTCTTTAATTTTCTAAATGAATGGTAGCATTCTGTCTTTCTTAGAATAGTGGACGGGCCGTTTCGTTT